TGCATAATTTTGACAGTTAGAACACTGCTGATTGGCCAGCTGGAATGTTCTCGCAGGCCGCACCGTAGAAGTTGATTATCGACAAAGACTAGGATAGTTGACGAGACAGTTGTATGGTCCTGAGGGTCATTAACATGCTCAAATTATGTTTGGTGCACGTAGGCCGAAGTCCAGGTTTTCGGGAAGGAGATTGGCTACTTCACCGTAAACTATGGCGCCAGTCTTAGATGTGTTTTCTCATCGGTCTCTTTTGATAATATCATCGATTCAATACTGCCATCAGCACTCCACGTCTGCTAGGATGTCCAGGTAAGACAAGACTTTCTTCTTGGAGCTCGGTCATGCCGTGGATATTGTCCCGTAATTACTAATTGAAGTGAAATTGCGGGGAACCAAGTTCAACCAGACGGATTTACATCACGCGCAGTTAGCTCTCCTCCGCCCCCTACATTGTAAGAGGCTCGAAGCGATCTACAGTTGTCTAGCTTTGTTCTTAGGTTATGCCACTTCGTGCGACCGCGTGTTTAGTATCCTTCATATCTTAGAAGCAACTGCGCTGATATCCATTGGTCATAAGTACAAATAAGTTCTTCAGGAACCCCACTTGCTGTGAGAGTCCACTACCTGGAATCATGCTGTCTGCATCCCAAATCCTTTTCGCCCAAAATTCGGCTGTCTCTTTGAAACGCTCCATCCCAATAAAAGGCCTTCATATCTCGTCTGTCTGATTATCACTCGCCCGGAGGAAGCTATGGACACTGATGGCCGAATCACCGTCAACAATGAAGAGAAGTAATGCTAACCCTTCAGTCGCTTATTATTTGCTTGGATCGAGGCATGTGTCAAGTTCACAAACTGAAAATTCTCGTCGAGTCGCGGGTTGCTTGAATTATGATTATGTGATCCTTAAATACTAAAACTGAACATGCTAATTATTCGCACGGACGACTATTGCTCTTGAGTCACGCTTCCAAGTGAGTATTTCGTCCTTTGTGATCGCTGGGGATGAAATCGCGACAACTGGCAACCGGGGTCCTGAAAATCAGACCATCATAACACCAAATACAATGAACGAAAGGGCTGCTATTTTTAGTAGCTATGTGTTTCTGCGATTAGATCTTACTTGCTTCCTGGGACTGGTATTTTCGTTGGTTC